GGGCAGAACTGTGGGTGGGAGAGGAGATGACAAGATGCTAGGGGAAAATTCCAGAAAAAGAGAAGAGCAGAGGAGAAAGTGCTAAAACAACTCTGAGCCTGATGCGACCCCTGAAAATACATCCTGCATATCAGATATTTACATGACGATTCATAACAGTAGCAAAATTACAGTTATGAAGTAGCAATGAAAATAATTTTATGGTTGGGGGTCACCACAACATGAGGAACTGTATTAAAGTTTGTGGCATTAGGAAGGTTGAGAACCACTGCTCTAGAGACTCTGGCCTTACACACCATCCCAAAATTCACAGGAAGCTAATGAATCTGCTTATGTCCATACACTGTTGTGAGCATGCCTGTGCCCACGTGAGCAAGGACCCGCTGTGCTGTGATGGAACATGGGCTCCCAGCGCTGGGCCTGCACGTTGGAGGGTCTGGGTGCAAAGTGAGAGGGGGCGGCCTGTGAGGCAGGTCACCTGGCAGCCATTACAGGCTTTTAGCAGAGGCTGTGGCCTGACTGAACTGGAAGTTGGAGAAAAGATTGCTACAGGGACATCAGCTGAAACCTATTCAAATGAGAGCGATGAATGGTTTTGTCCATGAAAGAATGTCCAGTCTATAGAAAAGTTTGATAAGAGTTTATTTGAGCAAAAACTTTGAGAACATGCTGGAAGCAAAATAGCAACAGATTGAGAAAATGCTCTGGAGAATGGCAGTTTTGAAGCTCATTTTATACATTAGAATCAAGAGAGATGGTGTAGGAGGGTCACATGCAACCCATTAAGGGGAAGGGGGAAAACACAGTGGGGAAATCTCTAGTGTTGGATAAAAAGCAAAATGGAGGGCGCAGCCAGCATGGCTCAGTGCTTGCACATCGACCAATGAATCAAAGGTCAGGGTTCTATTCCTGGTCAGGGCACATGCCCAGGTTCCTGGCTCCATCCCAGTAGGGGGCGTGCAGGAGGCTGGCTCAATGATTCTCTCTCATTATGATGTTTCTCTCTCCCTCTCCCTTCCTCTCTGATATCAATAAAAAGATATACTAAAAATAAAAA